GCATCAACGTTGGAGCTAAGGCTTCATCCTGGTGGGAATACACACGGATGCGGAGGTTTTTCCGGTCATCAGGTGGGGAAAGTTCCCCAAAAAACAGCAATGAAAAACAACCCGCCCGGGAAAAAAGTCACCCAATTCCCATCTCCTCCAGGAATCCAAGACGAGGCCATTTGGGATCCGAACACGGATGCGTTTTCCCTTTTTCCCATGTTTTCCCAGCTCGGAGCAGCAGCGAAGCCGGAGCACGGGAGGATGAGGAGGCCGAAGCAGCGCGTTTTCCCACCCGACTCCGGAAAAGGCGACTCCGACTTCCTCATTGGGAATTAGCCGGGAATGTCGGGAATTTTCCCAGCTCCGTGCAGCAGGAGAGAGGGGAAAATCCCAACTTCCTGGATCCGGATCTGCTTGGCGAAGGAGAGAAATGAGCACAGCGCGCGCGGCGGGGGGGGAAAGCCCCAAAATAAGGAAAAAATTCCCAATATTCCCATTCCCGCCCTTCCCAAATAATAATAGTAATAACAAAAAACAACCGGAAAACACAGGAAAACTTAAAAAAAAGCCCCCAAAAAGAAAACAGAAAGTAACAGAGCCCTGTAGATATTGGAGAATTCCTTTTTTCCGGGTTTTTCTCCCACCGAGCGGAGCCGGATCAAGAGGAATTCTGGTTCTGGTAAATGGAGGCTTTTTCCTTCAGTAGATCCAGACACAAGTGGCAGCTCCAACTCCCTGGAAAAATAAAAAAGGCGGAAAAATGGGTGATGAACCGGGAACAATGGGATAACAGAGATGGCCGGAGCGTCGCATTCCGGATCTGGATGCTCCAAGAGTTTTTGCCGCTCGTTGGAAGCTGGAGATGGTTTATAAAGAATGGGAGCAGCCGGATTCTTCCGGCTTTTCATCGGCATCTTGGAGTTTTGGGTTAAGAAATAAATAACTAGGATTTGGGCTCAGATGCCAAGATTTAGCGTTAAGGATTTTCCAGGTAGCTCCATTTGGCTTCCAGCGTCCGGCCTTTTCCGCAATCCGGAAAATCCGGTGGCAGGAAGGAGGGATACGCATGGAATGCTCAAGGCGGGAAAACGGACACCGGGTTTTACAAATCGAGCCGGATTTCAGCCCAAAAGGGATTTTTTTTGCCATCAAAAGCCGCGAGCTCCGGGGAATTCCCGGGAAAAGCCGGGATAACCGCGGGATGAGGCTCCTACCTTCCGGCGGCTCCGACATGGGGGGCGTGAGGCAGTACATGTGGTAGCCGCGGTCGCAGTCGTCGCAGAAGAGCAGCTGATCCTGGGCAAACGGAAGCGGGAAGAAAACAGGGAATACTCACGTGATTCCCAGGAAAAGCTCCGGCGGGACGGCAAGCGGAAAAACTCCGGGTTAGGATGGGAAGGGGATGGGAAAAGGCCGGGGAATAGGGTGGGAAAAGGCTGGGGAATGAGCCGGGGGATGTGGTGGGGTTTGCAGCGGTGTTCCCGGCGGGGCGCGATCCCGCCGGACGGCATTCCGGAGGGCGGGAATGCTCACGTCGTTCTCGGAGGTGCCGCAGATGTTGCAGCACTTGCACTCGATGCACTGCCAGCGATAGGTCTTCACCGCCGCCATCATCACCGGCGTGAACTGCAGGCACGACGGGTGGCCTGGAAAGCGGGAAAAAACACCGGGATTTGGGGAAAAAACACCGGGATTTGGGGAAAGAACACGCGGAGAGCGGCGTTCCCGGCTGGAAAAACACCCGGGGAGCAAAACCCGCCTGCAAAGCCCCATGGGAAAAGGAGGAATGTCGTGAATCCCAAGTGTGTGAGCTGCTGGAATTCCCATTTTTCCCCCGTTTGGGAAAGAACAGTTTTCCGGGATCCTTACCCGAGCGTCCACAGTCGGAGCAGGAGACGAGCTCTTCCGGCTGTCCCGTTTTCTTGTTGATCTTGGAGTCTCCCAAGCAGAAGTCGCAGTAGTTGTTGGGAAGGGCCAATCCGTCGGGACCCTTCTTGGCTGCGGCGAGCGGAAAAGCGGATGCGGCGCGGAAGGAAATCCCGCTTTTCCCAAAGGAAAGCCCTCGGGGAGCGGGGTTGCCCCGGAGCGCTCGGGATGAGCTCCGGGCTCCGGTTTGGAGACTCCGGAATGGGGGATCTCGCGTGCTGGAAAAGCGGGATGGGGCAAAAAAGCGGGAATGCTGCTTACATTTCTGCTGTTCCGAGCGCTGCGAGACCGGAGTGGGCGGTTGGGAATCATCCTTGTCATCCCCCTCCTCCTCGGCCAGGTGGGAATGGGCGTAGTGATAACTCAGGCCGGGCCGGTTCTTGTAGCGCTTCCCGCAGACTACGGAATTTTGGGAGAAAAAACAGGGAAAAGAGGTCAGAACAGTGGGAATGCCGCCGGTATCCCGCTCCCAAACTCAGCTCCCGGCCTACGGTGTTGCATCCCGCAGGACCGGGTTGGGATGCGGGATGCCGGGTGGGTTTTTCCCTTCCCCTCCCCTGGGAATAAATCCGGAAAAATCCCAGGATGTGTTTTTTTAATGCCGATGATGGATCCCCGAGGGATCGAGCGGTTCCTGCGCGGCTTCCGGATGGGAAGCGCAAGGCGGCAATGGGAGGAAATGTGGGAATAGCTCAAACTCGGCAGGGGAAAATTCCGGATCAAAAGCGATCGGGAAGCGTCTCCCATTTGGAAGCGGGAGCACCGGAACAGTTGCTTTTTTCCAGGAAAAATCACGGGATTTGATGCACAAAAAAAATAGGGAAGTGCCACCGCAATGGGGAATTTGGGATTGAAGCCGCTCGCTCCAGGTTCGGCTTCTCCGACTGTTCTTCCCGCAGGGATGGAGGTGCCGGCTGCTCCCGGCTTTCCCAAATCCCAGTGGGATTTGGGTTCAGAACTGGGAAATTTGAGCTCTTTTCATCCTAGACCAACGCGGAGCAGGGGGAAAACATGAACCTGGGGAAAGGGTGGAAAAGGGAACTGGGAAGGAGAGGAAAAATCCGATGGGAAGAATCCGGGCTCCGTGTGTGGCAGCGGAAAGAGGGATTGGGGCCAATTCCAACCCTCTGGAATGTGGCGGAAGGGGATTTTTGCAAGGAAGAGACATTGGAAACACCATTTTCCCCCCGTCTTTCTGCATCCCGGGCAAATGGAGACGGGAAAACAGCTCCGGGACAAGAGCAGCAATCCCAGAGACCGACCGGAGCGTTTTCCCACCTGGACAGCCCTAAAATCCCAGCAAGGAAAAGCGGCCACCACCGGCATCCTCCAACGGTTTTCCAGGACGGTTTTCCGGCTTTCTGGAATCGCGACGCTTCCGAGGGGGGTTAAACAGGGACTTTTTTTTATCATTCCCCCCCTTTTATCCAGTGGGGGCTCCTATTCCCAAAACACTCTTGGAAAACCGCGCAGGGCCGGAGCGCAGCTTGGATCCGCTTTAGGCAAAACCAGGGATATTTAGGGAAGGAAAAATTAAAAAAAAACACCTGGAAAGGGAAAAATTCCGGCACCTCATGGAAAAAGGGCCCCGAAAGCAACAGATTTGGGAGTGAAAGGGTGGGATGGAAACACTGGAATGTTTTCCCGCAGTCTCCCCCCTCCCTTCTCCCGATTTTTTTTCCCCGCAGCGGGAAGCAGGGATTAAACTGTTTTCCGAAGCGTCTCCGGAGGAGGCCGAGGTCGGCTCTGACGTCGGAGCGGCGCCTTTTGGCCCTGGGGGGGGCCTGTTTTTCCCTCCCTTTCCCCCTTTTCCCAGAGGAAAAAATAAATAAAAGGAGCGTTTTCCAGGAGAGCGGAGAGAGGTGGTGGTTTGGGGAGGGAAAATGAGGAAAATCAATGGAAAAGGGGAGGAAAAATAAGGCATAAAGGCGGACAGAGCGCGGACTACCTCGGTCGGGAGGTTTCAAGTTTTGCTTTTGTTTGTAACTATCTGAAACACAGAAAGAGAGTCGTGAGAAAAGGGGAAAATAATAAAAAAAGCGAAAATCCCCCCAAAAAGCAGAGGCAGCTCCCAAGGGAAAGGAAGGAAAGGAGGGAAAGGAAGCGGGAAGCCGAGAGCGGAAGGGCCGAGG